CATGATGTTGTTATTATTTTCAATGTTTACATTAGTATGAGTTTCCACGGAGCACAATGCCATAGTGCTCATTTCCCACTTTTATCATGTTTTTCAGGTCAGGATGTCGGGGCGGGAGCGTGATGTGACGGAAGCTTCAGGACATTCATGTTTTTGACTGTATAATATTTATGATGACTTACGCTTCCGCTAATTATGTTTTGTTGACTTGTGACGATGTTTTTGATGTCTTCTGACGTACTCATATTTTGACGAACTTATCTGTTGACGAACTTTTGGGAAACTTATGCTTTCAGTAACCGGATGATTTTCTTAAAAATTAAAACAACGGTTTTCCAAATTAAGTCACGATTTTAAGGTAGCACCCCGAATCAGTTTTCGCAAAGTAAAAGGTTTTATTTTTAAATAACTTTGCGAATTTCTCGCACTCTGATTTTACGATAAGGAGGGGTGTTACACGCCCGATAGTCCCAGCGGTCACGCTGGCAGCACCCGCACGCCCAGTAATGCATGCGCATGCCCAGTACCCAGCAGTCAAGCCCCGCGCTGCAGCAGTCATGCGCGTAGGCGCGCAGTGCATGTGATGAGAACACGGCAAGAAGGCTGAAGAATGCGGCGAGCTGCCCTTATCATGCACGACAGAGGTTAAGCCGCCGGGCTGTCGAGGCCCAACTCGTTAGCGGGCATGCACGCACGAGCGGTGACGCGCGCGAGAATTTCGACCAAGGACGCGATAGCGTGAGTATGGCCGAGGGGATTCACGCGCGAGCACACCTAACCACACAAGGAATAGGCGATACGGATGACGGGGCGCGGGAGTCCGGCACGCGCACAATGGCGGCTAGGGTTGGGCGACGCAAAGCGGATTCAATATATTAGAATCCTTTTCTTTCCTTAATTCCTAGTATGGTAGGATATCTTATGTTTTATTGCTTTTCTAGTTTAAGTAGATTAGCCCTAATAGAATAGGATTAGATCTTTATTTTGAGCCTTATAAATAGGCGCAAGCATTGTTACTTAGGATTATATTGGTTCTTCTTAATACAAAAATTCGAACTTTTGTTCATACACTTTGCGTAGATTTCCTTGAACTCTATTGCAATTTTACTTGTTTCGAAGGACTGTGGACGCGGATCTTCGAGACCCTATCTCGATTTAACGCACTCGCGTGGCTTGTCGAAAGGCCGAACACACGATCTTCATCATTGGTGCTTTCATTGAGAGGTGTTTGATCGTGTGTTCTTCTTCCTCCTGATTCTAATTTTAATTTTCCTTGTTCAATCTTTCTTCGTTAAAAAAAATAAATAAAATAAAAATTCAAAACTAGTCCTCATAGCAAAGAAAGAAAAAAAAGAGAAGAAGGAGATGGCCAACAAAGAGATGAAGGACAAAATCGATGGCCTTGATGCACGGGTTTCGGGCATGACCGAGACCATGTCCACCATGGGGGAAGAACTCGGGTCTCACAAGATGGCCATGAAGGAGATGATGCAATTCATGACCCAAAAATTTGAGGAGATGGGGCGAAACTTTCAAGAACTCCAGCAGCAGCCGCGCGCTCACGAGCGAATTCACACGAACGCGCGCGAGCATCTACGGCAACAAGAACAGCAGTGGGAGCATTAGAAGGAGGAATTCGAGCGGAACTCTCAAGCGTCCAACATGCACGAGAGGCCGAGGGTTGACAAGCCAAAAATAATGCTCTCGACCTTTACGGGGAACGACCCCGAGGCGTGGCTCAATCGGGCGATGCAGTACTTTGAATTGAACGAGACGCCGGCGAGGCACTGGGTTAGGTATGCTGCCTATTACCTAGACGGGGAGGCCAACGTGTGGTGGCAATGGCTCACAAGCATATACGGGACCCGCAATCAACCAATCATGTGGAATGATTTTGAGCGAGAATTACTTACGCGGTTTGGAGCGTCAAGTTACCTCAACTATGACGAGGCGCTCTCGCGCATTAGGCAGACGGGCACTCTACGCGATTACCAAAAGGAGTTCGAGCGCTTGGCGTGCCGCATTCGAGGATGGCCCGAGAGTGCCTTGGTCGGTGCATTCATTGGAGGACTTAGGTACGATTTGGCTGCGGAGGTACGATTGGAGCAACCAGACACCATGCAAAAGGCGATGGAAGTCGCT